GTAGGGAAAAACAGAGTTTTAGTCTCTTAAAAGAGTGACTGTTGATCACCCATTATTGGCTTCCGATAATATTCTAGGCTATTTAATTTACAATAAACCTGAAGTTTTTTACATTGATTGCCAGCCCTGAAAACTTGCACAGGCTATAAAATCTAATCCACATCCCTCTCCTTTGCTTCAGTTGTAACAGTTGGAATAGAATGGCATGGAAATCTGTGCTTTCAAATAGACCTGTACAATATTGGACTGCCACTGGATCTGCACAGGTTTAAGTGATCAAAATTACAGGATCAAATTTATTGATGGTACACAGGGCAGAATGGAATCCAGCTGCGTGGTCCTAAAGAGCCAAAAGAGAAAATAATATAAACCTTTTCTTTTTTAATCTAGGAGAACTGCAGCTGAATATTCTAAAAAATTCCACCTTTTCATCAAAAAAACACAATCCCCACACAAGCCTTTTCAGATCAGACCATACTTGCATCCATGACATTTACCTTTACATCAGTAAGGTGTGTAAGCCGCTTTGTCATGCTAATTTATAATTCTGAAACCAATGTTTGAGCTTTACATCAGAAATAAAATGCTTCCATATAAAGATATGGAAGCTAAAGAAGAAAAAGACATAAAACAAGAAAAAGTAAATTAAGCAAAAAAGTAAATAAACCAGGACTCACATTTTCAGGCAAGGACTTGGTAATTGCACTGTGAGCCATTGGTTCAATACATAACAGATGGATAATTTCTCTCATGATAACATCTTCTTTTGTCACATTACTCACTCCGGGCACATACCTTTCCCCTACCAGAGTGAATCAAAAGGAGAAGAATGGCAAATATGACAGTTTTAAAGCAATTCTGAATTTTGCACAGAGGTAATGCTATTGCCAAGATATTTCATAGTACAAGTTCGCATTCACCAGAAACCTATCCCAAGTGTCTGAGAGGAAAAATGTTTTTTAGCCTAGCTTCCCAACAAAATGAGCTGAGATGACGTTTCTCTTCATATTCTATTTTAATAGTCAATTATGAAGTTGTCTAACAGATTTTTTCACTATGCAATTCTATTGTTTCCAGTTGACAAATACTTGTGTTACTCAACCATCTATTTAAAATAAGCATTCTCCAGTATCCTCTCTATACCATCTATGTTAAAGAAAGTCATCAAGCCTATTCTGTCAAACTGTAATAATCCATTACTACAACAGGAAACAGAAATGAAACTTACCCACAACATAGATGAGAATCTGTAGCATCTCTTCTATGAGCACATTACATTGTTTGATCAAATCCTATAAGAATTAAAGAAACCAATTTAAAAAAAAAAAACAACAAACAAAAAACAAACAGGCAAGAAAATCTGTCAAATGACACTGAGCTCAGCATTCAGATGCACTACTTTGCTGAAGCACTGTACTGTAAGAAGAAACTTCCATTCTAACAAGCTGGAAAAAATGCCTGGGCTTGTAGGAGAGATGTTATTCTGCAATTGAAGTGCAAGATTCACATACAGGAAAAGAAACAACAATGCATCCCAAATGAAGGGTTATATGAAAGTTCAAGACTCAAGAAGTAGCACAACAATACAAGAAACTTCCAGCCAAAATAAGAACACATATTATGGCTTATAGAGAAGTCATTTACATGGATTTTGGCAGACGCCCTATGAAAGAAAGGTCAAGGAGGGCAAAACCTGTTTGCTAATTTTGAGTAAACCTCTAAAAATTCTGAATACAAAATCATTTATCTACCACTAGTTCCTGTGCTGACTGACTTTTAGTGTGGTCATAAAATGCAGTTATCAACAGTAGCTAGTTTTTCTTATTAATGTTCCATAAACTGAAAGCAAACAAATGAATCAGGAGAAATACTTGCCACTTACCTGATCTTTGGTGGGCTTGATCTTTTTGAAAGCATCAGCAAGCTCGTATCTCTGCAGTATCAGTAGGAGGAACTGGTTTGGATCCATACGAGATGCACCTATCTATCAAAAAACCCAAACTAATATGAACATCAGTTACTATTACAGTTCATTAATTATGAATAATACTCTTTTCCCAAAAGAAATATTTAAAATCATATGAACTTAATTAAAATAAATTCCATGAGTCAAGTAAGCAATGATTCAGAACATTATACCTGGAGCATGATGATGTCTTTGTCATACATCTCTTCTCTGCATTTAACATCTTGATAATAGAATACCTGAGAAATAGGAAAACAAAATTTAGGTAAAGTAATGCACTATCACACATGCATCAGTTCATGCCTGAGGCCTTTTTAAACTTTACAGCACCTTTACTGAGTAAGGGGAAGTCCCATGTTTTCTTTCAAAACAAATATATACTTTGATGGAAGTGAAAAATGTTTTTCTACCTATCCAGAGAAAGTCTACACTGTATTTCCTCATACCTCCTTCCAAGACAACACAATGCTAATGGCTGCTATTCATTAAGGTCAAAACATCCTCCTTCTCCTGCCCCAGTTCTCAGAGAGACAATTCTACAGGGGGCTACCAATATTTACTTTGATTTGACTACAGGGTCTTGTGAAAGGTAAACACAGAAAATTTCTGCCATCAAAGAAAAAAAAAAGTGAAGCCAAACCCTCAAAGTGAAGAAGATTTTCCTCATATTGAGATGGAGCTTCCTGTGTTCCAGTTTATTCCCACCATTACGACCAACTCACTATTGAATATTGTAGGGAGTACCTGGCTTATCAGGGAGAGCCCATTCCTTCTCCACATCTCTGCAGCAACCTGAGCAACCAAGACAAGACATCGCAATGGATATTCTACTAGCAGCTCCACTTGAAATTCCTCCTAGAATTTAAAAAAGAAGAAAAAAAAAGAAAAAAAATCAAGCAAGAATAAGTCTATGAGGGATTTTAAAAGTGTAAGTCCTAATGAACAAAGCACATTGACAGCTGCAAAATAACTTGTGTGTGTGTGATGAAAAGTTACAGGATATAATTTTAGTCTTTTTCCTTCCCAAAGTATAAATCACAAGAAGCAAGGAGGGGGAAAAAAAAAATCTTACAGGAGAAACAAACTCGTGTAATCTTGAGATGGTTCCAGTCTTGCTTAATCGTACATGAAGACCTACAAAAAAAGCAAACAAACAATTGGAAAATAAATCAAACTCAGTAAAGTCTCTCCTCCAACCCATTCTAAATGTTAGCTAAATCATCTACCACTCAGAAAATTACAGAAAAAAACCTCGAAGTTTATCTAGGAAAGACTTGTTACCTTTTTTTTTTTTTTTAAAAGACAGAAGATCTATTACATTATCACAAGAGTTCTTACCAGTCTTACAATTCATTATTTTATGAATAAATATATTCATTTAATGGATTCATTAAAACCACTTAAATTGAGAAGTTAAATACTATTAGCAAAATTTTAATTTCACATTTAAATTGTATGTCAGTAATAACTGAATTTCAAGACTACAAGGCTTAACAGATGGTATCTTGGTATGAAATGATGTTGTAAAGAATGTACAGCTTAATAATAGCATATGATTTCATTTGTAGTCTAGAGAAAGTGGCGATCACCCACTGCTGTGGTCCTTTGTATTCTGATGGGAAATCTGTCCTGGCATGCTGCAAACACATGTCTTTTAGGAGAAGCATTTTAACAGTCCTAAGATATATGTAGCTGGAAAATAAATTCAAGATACAATAATAATGATGTTCATTTAGGCAAAACAGGTACATGGAAAATAAGGAGGTGATTGGTGACAGCCAACACAGCTTCACTAAGGGCAAATCGTGCCTGACAAACTTGGTGGCCTTCTATGACGGGGTTACAGTGTCGGTGGATAAGGGAAGGGCAACTGATGTCATCTACCTGGACTTGTGCAAGGCATTTGACACTGTCCCGCACGACATCCTTGTCTCTAAATTGGAGAGACATGGATTCGATGGATGGACCACGTGGTGGATAAGGAATTGGCTGGATGGTTGCACTCAAAGAGTTGTGGTCAATGGCTCAATGTCCAAGTGGCAACAGTGATGAGTGGTGTTCCTCAGGAGCCAGTACTGGGACTAGCACTGTTCAACCTCTTTGTCGGTGACACGGACAGTGGGATCGA